ATAATATAAGCGGTGATTCAGTATTTTAATAAATTAATAATATTGTGGTACCTATATTTTAAAAATAAAAAAAAACTAAGGTCTTGAAATCAATTAAATTTTATAATAGGATCATTTTCTGTTAAATTTTTACGCATGCTTGTTCAATTCCAGCTTACGAATAGAGAGATATTTGAGACGGAGTTTCTTTGCGATTTTATTAGCACTGCCACTATAGAATTGAACGAAAAGTCATAATTTTCTATTCGTCAATGCAATACATCCACTATTCCCCACTTAAATATTATTTTGAGAAATTAAACTAATTCAAATAAATCGAAATTTTTTTTTCTAAAAACATTCTATCAAATGAAGTAAAACAATGTTCTTCAACACCAGAAATCTAGATATGCAAAAAATATCCTCACAGGCAACATTCCTAACTACCTACTTTATGGGCTACGTGACACAACTAACATTGAATTGTATCAGCACTAGCTAGTAAATAGCTAATAATTAATAATTATTTAAAATTAAAATTAAATATGATATGTCTAAATATATTTATTTAGATATACGAATAAACCTAACAATACAAACAGTAAAAATACAAGAGCTAATAAAATATGTATTTTAAAAATTATTTTGTAAAATTCCATTGAAATATGATAAACAAAGAAAGTAATTATACTATTTATTGAAGTTATTGTATATGTAATATGTATTTCATATTTCTATAAAAAGTAACATGAGCTTAAGAAAACGACCCTATTCAATTTATATACAGTATGGCCCACTAAGAACCAGGACACACATCCCAAATTTATTTGGGCACACAATTCGAACGAATTTTGTATGTATCCTCTAATTGTATGATGATCTACTGCGATTTTTTTAGAACTATTTTATTAAAAATTTAACTAGGTAGCTTTAATCAGCATCAGTATATTTTTTTAAATAGTATTTATTTGTCTAATTAAACGGGGTTTACAAAAAGATAACATCAAAAAACAATATTTAACATAACAAAACAGTTACTAAATTTACTACATACAGGGCGGCCCAATTAAAATGTCCACCTGAAATATTTTCAATGCTACAGGTTTTTCCGGAAAACCCAGAAACAGGTCGATTTTGCTTTCAAAGGGGACATCTATTCATCATAAATTCATAGATGTAGGGTCATCCTCCTAAACAGGGTGGCAACCCCTTCAAGAATCTTAAATGGCGCCCCCGTGTTAAGTGGCATATCATTTTAAAGGTGCCTATTTCAATTCTCTTTACAAACATGCTGAAACTTTTTTGTTCTGGTTTGATATTAATGTAAAAAAACCTGTTGGAAATGTCGGTGAAAAAAAATTGAAAAAAAACTTAAAATAGTAATAAAAAAACTCACCGGATAATGAAACTGTAAAAAATGAGGTTTATCATCGATATCTTGGGAAGGTGATGGGTTTTATTAGAATTTTACATGTAGTTTTGTTCCGATTTTACATCAATCAAAATTGTCTAGGTAGTGAAATCTATTGATTTGTTAATATTCGCTATTTTGAAGCAAACGATTCAAATTATCATGGTTTACATCGCTGCAGAGAGAATTGAAATTGTCACGAAATAATGAAAGGGCCCGGGCAAGAATTTTTAATGAAAAATATCCCGGTAAGAATCTCCATCCCTACGTAATAAATTTAATCTCTAAATTCATGGAGACTGGATGCGTTGCTAATAAAAAACCATGAAAGGCAACACACTGCTACTGATGAGGCTGCACAGGTTCAATTTTGGGACATGTTGAACTGGATCCCAAGCACCAGAAAATTAGAGGCAACTTCAGGAATTCCACGTAGTAGTCTTCAGAGAATCTTGAAAAAGCATAATCCCTATAAGATTCATTACGTTCAAGAGATCAATGAAGATGATCCAGATCGTCGTATACAATTTTGTGAACAGATGAGTGAAACAATTTTGAATAATCCCAATTTTTATATGTTACATGGTTTTCTGAATATACATTATTTCTTATTGTTGCTCCATTTTTTTCTACCTGATGACTAGAAGGGTGATTCTTACCTCAATTTGCTTCGAAACTTCATCTACCCTCGCATAGTGGAGATTCTTGAAAACAACGATCAGATCCCAGAGAACGTGACTTTTTGAATCAACATTTTCCCGAACACTGGATTAGTAGAAGAGGTTTCATCGAATGGCTCCCAAGATCGCCTGATTTAACACCATTGGACTTTTTCTTATGAGGTCATTTAAAAAGTGTTATTTATAAAATGAAACCTACCTCTTTAGAAGATCTTCCACCGAATAGTGGTAGCATGTGATGAAATAACCCCTGAAATGCTAAATAATGTTCGGGGAAATGTTGAACAAAGGTTTTATTACTGTATGGAAGTAAATGGGTCGCAATTTGAACACTTAAAACTTGTCTGGAAACATTTTTTTTTTGTATTCACCGACACTTGTAGTAAAGTACTGCGCTTCCTTTCTTTCCGTCACTTCTCAGGGAAACACTTACATTTCGGAACGCATTTTGGGATGGAAAACGAGTTAGAAAAAAAATTTACAAAAGTTTCTTAGTTTTCGGCGTAGAATCGAGATCAATAAGAAAAAGTAGGCCATTCCATTTAAAAAAGCTGATTTCTAGTCTGAATAAGTTACTTCCGGTGGGAGCCGGAAGTTGAAAATATCCCAATCAATCCGGCATAGTCCATTCACTATGACGAGGTATCGAATTTTTCATTTTATTAGATACCCTAGATTTCAGAAAGGGTGGACGGGTGGTCTGAAACACCCCGTATATTCTATAAATTGGAACATTCTGTATAAATATTGAAAACACACATTAATTACAACTTATAATGGTTTATGCAGACGTATAATTGCAGGAGTTTTGTTCTTCGATGATACCATGTGCATGTGACCCGGAGGATTTTAAAACAATTGATATAGGTATCGGTAAATATTTGCAATTTTAAAAAATTACTTTCTTTAAACTCATTTATATTGCGCAATACTCACCATCAAAATATATTGACCCTACACACAAAAAAAATAAATTCAATCAGATCGTGAGCCCCAAAAAAAATTTGAGAGTGGGGTTAGATCTATTAACAAAATATAATTTAAATTTGGAATATTTAAGCTTTAACAAAATAAAGATAAATTATTCTGTAGGGGTTTGTTGGTATTTCAGTAACTAAAGGTTTCATTGAGCCAAAAAAAAAGTTAGGTTTTTGAATGTCAAATTTGAGAAGTAACATTAATTATTTAAAAGAATAGGACTGGCAAACAAATGTTCCATATGGTAAAGGATGCACGAATGTTGCACATGCAATTATGAGTGAATTAGTAATGAAAAAATCGAGAATTATAGAAAATGTTGCTAATACTAAAAGAACACAGACAAATCTTTAAGATGTGCACTTACAGTCGATATGTAGAGAATAAAAAATAAAACTCATAAAACATAAATATTTTATTTTCAATCTTTATCAATGATACTTCAGTCGAATTAGATCATAAAATCTGAAAACTTGAAAAAATTATTAGTAGATAGTTTATTGCACTTAATGATGTGGAAGGGTATGTAGAACGATAACATCAACAAAGTTACTCGAAAGAAGTGATGCTAAAGTTGGCAAATTGCAAATAAGTTGCAAAACTCATTTTTTCACTTTTTTACTACCTACTAAAATCTAGACGGCCTATCAGAAAAATTAATCATTTTATGTTGTAGGCAATTAAATTACCTAAAATTTAAGGTAGGTACCTAGTCATTTTTCACTAATTTGTTAACTAAAAAATAAAGATCGAACGCGGAAATATCAGTTTTCGAAAATTGCGCATTATTGCAAAAAGCGATTGATATTGTTGAAATTTATGGAAATGAGGCCAATTCGATTGACCATTCGTTTTTTTTTGCAACTAATTGTTTAATTACTAAAGGTTAATTTTAGAAGTTAATATAGGTTCTATCTAATTGATCCAAAGAAACGTATCGAAAATGAAAAATTTCAAGAAGTTGAAATTAAGTTGCTCTTTACAGCTAACAAAGTAGGACGTGCAAAACAGCGTTATAAACAAAATGTCCCAGGATCAAGCAAAAGCCGCTCAGGAATATGCATTAAATAGAGCTTATTTTTACCGTAATTTTTAAAAAAGAGAGAAAAATCACGTACTCCTCTTTGTCCTCAAGATAGCTTTTTTATAATTTTAATTGTTGATTAACGATTGGACGTATCGAAGCAGGATTTTAAGAACAATTAAAGAAATTTATTTCTAAAAAGTTTACATTAATAGTTTATGTAATAAACGCGCTAGTAGCAGTAAAAGTTAATGAACGGCCTGCACGCGGGTGAATGCTGTCCTCGTTTGCGCGCAAGATTTTCGAACCGAATTAGAAACGTTCGTTTTAATGCAAAAAGAGCGAATTCCCGAGCAGCTTTTACTTGGCCCTTGGATAATTTGTTTATAACGGTATTTTGCATGTCCTACTTTGTTAATTGTAAAGGACTATTTAATTACAACTTTTTGAAATTATTCTTGTTCGATACGTTTTTTTGGATCAATTAGAACCTATATTAACTTCTGAAATTAACATTTAGTAATTAAACAACCAGGTGCAAGAAAACGAACGAAATTAATTAACAAATACCTGGAGTAACAGCTTTAGTCAATCAAATCGGCTTTTGGCACACATGTTGATTTTTGGATTAACCGCATTTTCCACAAATTTCATCAACATCTACCGCTTTTTGCAATGCGCACTTTTCGAAAACGGATTTTTCCGTGTTCAACCTTTATTTTATAATTAACAAATTGGTGGCTCTAGATACCCTAATTTGTAGATAATTTAATTGCTTACAACATAAAATGACTAATTTTCCGATAGGTTGTCTAGATTTTCGTGGACAGTAAAAAGAGCGAAAAAAACTAATTTTGCCACTTATTTGCAATTTGTCAACTTAGCGTCACATCTTTTGAGTTACTTTTTTGATATTATCATTCTACATACCCTTGCCCGGTGCAATAAAATGTCTACTAATAATTCTTTCAGGTTCTAATTCGACTGGAGTATACTGACGTAAAAAAACGTAGAACATCTATCGTACTATTCCAAACACCCTACGCCTAAAATTCGTATACACTTCGGCTTTGTGTTTTTCGACTTCAGATACTGTAATAGATGAAAATGGCCTGCCTTCTTAGCCAATGCAGCTGGAGTGTCTCCTTTTTTATCTCTGCTTCTAATATTTGCACCTTGCTCGATTAAAAGTTGTACCACGTCACGACCTTCCTTGGCAGCTAAATGTAGTGGCGTACGACCCTCTTTGTCTTTAGCGGCAATATCTGCACCTACGTCAGTAAGGAATTTGATGGTATCTATCTGCCCCTTCTCTGCAGCTAGATGTAGCACTGTACGCCCGTTTTTGTCCTTGATATTAACATCCGCATCTTGATCTATAAGAAACCTGAAACTTGATAGAACCCACTGAAACTCTGAATACCGACGCGTGTATCCTTCTTCATACGTGGTAGGAAGGTCTACATCGATGGTATGCTCTACATTAGCCAAAAATGTTTCAACGGCCACGTGCAGGGCCGTACGGCCGGTGTTGTCTGTGGTATTTACGTCCATACCTAACCCCACTAGGAACTGAACTGTGTCCTCATCAGCTACAGAAGCGGCTACGTGGAGAGCCGTTTGTCCAAAATTGTTTCTAATATTAATATCGACTCCACGTGCAACGAAAAATTTTACAATTTCCAGTCGTTTCCGTTTAGCAGCTAAATGTATCGTCGTGTTACCCTTTCTATCTCTGACATTGATAGCCGCGCCATTATCTGAGAGGAATTTGACGCAGTCCAAGCTACCCCAAGAAGCAGCTGCGTACAGAGCTGTCTCGCCAAACTCATCCTTGCTGTTTATATTCGCGCCATTCTTCACTAGTAATTCCACCATGCCCAAAACTCCACGAAAAGCCGAGACATATAGTGCTGTCTGCCCGAACATGTTTTTTATGTGAATATCTATTCCTAATTCTATTAACAGCTTGGCAGTTGGGACACCCCTGGACTTCCTTGAAACTAAATGCAGCACTGTTCTACCGCGATCATCTTTACTGTTGATATTTGCCCCTTTTTGTATCAAATATTTGATTACGTTTAATCGTTCCCCACGAGCAGCGCCAAAAACTAAGGTCTCGCCATTTTCAAATTTACCGTTGACGTCAATTCCCCGATCTATCAAAACTTTCAAAACATTTAAATAGCCCATGCAAGCTGCTACGTATGGAATCATGGTATTTTCTACATGTAACCCATTATTCCACAAAACGTTTTCCAAAAGAAACGTTGCTATATCGGAATCGTTTAGTCTCTCTATTTCGACGGTTAAGATTGGTTCGTCCAAGGCTTGCTCCAGTAAATATTTTGTTACATTAATGTGGCCGTTCTGAACAGCTTCTATAATTGGTGTGTCGCATTTATTGCTTCTACTATTAATATTTGCCCCCTGTTCCACTAAGAACTTCACCATCTTTAAATGTCCCTTGTTAGCAGCGAAGTGCAATGGCGTTCTACCAAGGTAATCTTTAATGTTAAGTCCACCTTGTTTCAACAAGAATTGTAAACAATTTAATGTATTGCGCCTCTCAATGTTGATGCGAACATCGACGTCGTAAATGCTGTTTATGAAAGTTTCTTTATCTCTAACAATTGTAAAATTTGTGCATTTCAAGAGAAGGTGAAGAACCGCTACACAGCCTTTTTTTGCCAGTTGGTGAATTAAATCAAGATTGTATTTCGAAATCAAGCGAACCTCGTACGAAAGAGACTGATAATTCTGGAAAATAGTAGGCGGCAGGAAGTACAAAATTCTTTGCAGAAAATTGTCAAAAAATGTAAGAACAACGTTAAATGTATGCGTGTAAAATAGTTCCTCGATCAAAAATCTTTGAAACTCAGCATTTTGGTTTTGACACTGAAGTTCTCTTACTATGCTTTCCGCGACAAAATATTCCGCCAGTGTTCTGTGAATGAAATTAAATTCGTTGATGTCAGATGTACTAAAATCATCATAAACAAAATCAAATTCCTCGTATGTCTTTTGCACAATTCCCATTTTTAACGCTATTATATCCATATCTTTGCTGGTTCCGTAAAAAGAAAAAAGTTCACGCTCTCTTTCGTCGAGAACAATTTCCAAAGCGAGTGATCGGTGAAATTCAAGACACTCGTTGAACTGATAGGTTAACGCCTGAATAGCTGCTGTGTGTCCATTTGGATTTTCTTTGTCTATGAAAATGTCTCGTTTCTTGCTAATAAACATATCGTACAGTTGCACTAAATTCATTTTCTCCGGCAGATTAGGTTCCTCTTCATCTGCTTGTAAGTATTCCTTACATCCTTCCCAGTCCAGGAAATTGTCCGACTTTATACTTTCCTGAAATATCTCTGCTAGCATCCTCAGTTGTAAAGGTATGGCAGCAAAATGGTCTTCTATTCCGTTATTCAGGTTAGTCAATGACATTTTATTCACTAGAGTTGTGGCGTACCTTTCACACTTCGTTATATCGATATCTTCTCTTAAATTTAGGTAATGTGTCCAATACCTGGTAAGAAAATCCACTTGATTTTCTTTCGTAAACGGTTCCATTGTAAAGGAAGTAACCTGCAATTTTGATTCTAACTCCCTCACCAGATGGAGCCTTGTAGTAACGAACACCTTCGCAAAATTAGACGCTTCTCGGCATTGTAGGAGCAAACTTATTATGAGATCGATATAATTGGGGCTAATCTCGTCCACCCCATCTAACATCAAGACCACTTTCTTTTCCATTGCAAAAACAAAGTTTTCGAACTTGTTTGTTAATTTAGTGGCATTTTTAGAGTTCAGTAGGTCCAAGATGTTTATCGTTCTCCAATTTCTCTTCGAGAAATCCTTCAAAATAGCAGAAAAATCATTCAGTCCAATTTTTATAACTCATAAATGGGGATGTTGTTCCCTAATAATGTCTGCTAAATGGGTAAGTACTGTAGTCTTTCCCATACCGGCTGTATTGGCGATTAAAGTAATTCTTTCATCCACATCGTAAATGTTTTCTTCTGAATAATCAACTCTCGTCTTCCCTCCACTTCCCTCGATCTCCCTCTTAAACGTACGGTTTATATAAAAACGGGCAACGCTTTCATCAAAATCGACAAGTCCTGCTCCCACTTTAATTTTCTTGTCGCCGATCAGCCTTTGTAAGAATAAATTAGCAGCTTTCTCAAACTCTTCGGCTTTTCCTCGCATTGGACACAGTTCTCCTAAACTAAGACTCCTCCCTTGGAAAATTATATTTCTTTTGTTTAGTAATCTTTCTCGAGTTTCATCAGACAAATCGTCGAAAGTTCCAGATCCAAAAACGATCTCACAGTCGCTTTGATTTAATCCAAACAGTTGATCCAACTTATTCATGGATTCGATGACTAAGATGATTTTCTTGTGCTTGTACGTATTTAAGGTTTCACTTAGTCTATCACTTACTTCAGTCATTATAAACTTCCCTGTATTTTTAGGACAAATTATTAATAAAAATGTGTAATGGGGTAACTTAAATGCTTCTATGACTCGTTCCTGTACTTTGATATCATCATCATGATTGATACACAGAGTTTTGGATTTATCGTTCTTCAACGTGTAGTATATTTTTATTTCCTCTAGTAAAAATCTATCCTCAGCTATGATGTAATATATTCTTTTTGCTTTTGAGAATTGTAAGTCGTTATATCGGAAGAACAGCCTATACTGCTGTAACTTTTGCCAGTATCTGTTTGTTCTTATTTCCGAAAACATAGCATTTGCACGGACTTCAGTCAAATATATACCATTTTTATCTTGGAACCACTCCATTACTTTGGCACGTATTTCCAAAGCAGAAATTTTTTCATACAATTCGTTAGACCGTTTCATAACAAACAATAATTGTTCGATAACTCTTTCCAAGTCATTTTGCGACGGGAAACTGGCATAAATTTGCAAGTGTTCCAAAAAATCTTGCAAGTTTTCATCTGTAAATGTTGTTTGATCAATATTTCTGTCCTGACATTTTTTTTCCAAATATTCTATCACGGCTTCTCTTAAATACGGTAAGATATTCGCATTAACCGTGAAAAATGAATTGTCACTATGTGGGCAATATAACATACTTTCGTAACAAATCCTTTGACTATTTAAAAATTTCAGAATCTGTTCATCGACGTTAACGTTGCTGCAAAGAACAACGTTCTTCACTTTGAATTTATTTTTGATTTCTTGAAACGACAGAAAATACTTGGCCAGGCTGAAATCGTCGTTTTTCAGATTCGTTGAGAGTAACTCCTTCAAAGTAATCTCCTTCTTCTTCTTCTTGTGCTTCGCCTGCAGCAAAACTGCACCCTCTGGCCACTCCAGGACCACGTCGTCGAACTTCTCGGCTAGTGTATTTTCTGTAGACACAGGCCCGGATCCAGAGGGGGTGGCGATGTGGCGATCGCCACCCCCAAAGCACAACATTTTTTAAAGATCTTCAATTTCTCCAAACGACAACAGGCAGTTAGTCGATATTAATGCAAGTCCCCCTTCCTAACCTACACCTTACGTCATCAAAAAAATAACAACAACAACAACAACAACAACAATAATAATAATAATAATGATAATGATAAAGAAGTGCTTTGCGCCACCCCCAAAACCAGTCTCTGGATCCGGGCCTGTGTAGACAACCTCCAGTTGCTGATTCTCTGCAGGGCATTCAGAAGAAATATCGTCAGAAGGCTCACTTGGAATCCTACACCCTTGCTGCCGGCATCTCCATGTTTTATGTACTTCGTACCATCCATTTCTTTAAGAGATGTGTCTATATGCTTGCAGTTCACTTGAAATTAATAGCAACCTGAAACATAGTAATATACAATGTTTCCTATGTCCATGTCACATATGGAATTTGCTTTTAAACTAAAAGCCCTATAACTAAATTTATAATCATTAGTAAACTACTGGTTGAAAATCGTTAAACATCTGTTAATAACCAAAACTTAATCTATTGTTAATTTATGTTAAATGTAAGTTAATTGAAATACATTCAATGAAGGCAAACGTGTTCCCTAATATCAAGAATCTAGGTGTGGAAAGGATATCGAACCTCATATGCAATATTATTAACTGATGATATTGAGGAAAACAGCTCTGTGAGCTAATTACCCCGACAAATATTGCTTACTCCGAAAGAACAGGGAAAAGGTCAGCAAAAATTGTAAATAAATAATGTATGTACCTTATTAACAAATTAACTAATAAGTTACGCAAACTAAATAAGTAGTAATGTCTAATAAGGTAAGTAAAGTAATTATCTGGTAACGGAATGGAATAATACGTAAAATATGCGGAGATAAGTTCTACAACATAAGCTAAATTTCCAAATAAAAGATAGCGTGAAATATATATACCATATGAGAGCAAGCCAGATCAGCCACAGATTAACTGTTATAAATAACATGACATGCATAACTTAAAATTAAGCTTATCTGAGCGGTTTCTATAGCACCAGTGACAGGTTCCAATGATTATGAAAGTGAAGATTTTCTACTCCAACCATACAAGAGCATCCACAAAAGGACATGAAGCCAGGCAGCAACTGGGAGTTATGCAAGGCGAGTCTTGGATAGGGATCCTGTACTCCAGTGCAGATAATAATCCAGTCTAAGCGAGGAGTTCTTTAACCAAGGTCCGGGGTTATGATACCTTGGACTTCCAATGGCAATTAATCACCCGGTATATGAGGATGAAATAGGAAAACACCCAGAACACTAATAACGACGAAGGTGACGTTGAGAGTGAGAGTGCGAATATAATAAGATGGGGTTGAAACAAAGACGAAGACGAAGAAAATTGTTCTCTAGATTATTTGCAAAATTAAGAGAAAGCGGTGCATTTAAAAAAAAGGGTAATCATGGTAGACCCACTATGTAAACTATTCGGCAAAAACAAATACTAAATTTGGTAGAAAATGATCCAACAACGAGTATCCAACGAATTTCCACAAACGTAAGGCTATGTAAAAGTGCAGTTTTCACTATACTTCATGAACAACAACTGTACACATACCATTACACACCAGTACATAATTTGCCCAATGACTTTTTTCCAAGAAGAAATTTTTGCCATTTCATCTTATGAAAAAATGCTCATACTTCAAATACATAAAAAACAACAGACAATCGCTCAGAAAAGAATCAATAACACAATTAAAATAAAATACAGTTACCTAACAATAATCAAAAGTTTAAAATAAAAATCCTCAACTATAAACTATAAAATCAGCTGTCCACTCAATAGATATGATTTAAATTTATACTTGAATTTGTTAATATTAAAAATTTTAAAATTATCAGGAAGAGAATTGTATAAACTGATAGAATTACAAGTAAAACATCTTTTAAATAGGGCGCTACGATGACGTGGCATTGTAAAGGTATTTTTAAATCGGATATTCCTTGAATGAACATTAGAACTATTAACAAATTTAATTTTTAATGAATAATAAGAAGGAATTGTTAAAATTTTATGCACAAGATTTCCAAGATGGTGACGTCGACGATTCTCCATGTTGAGCCACTTGATCTCTACAATTTTGTGAGAAATATGATCAAATTTTCTTAATCCATGTACAAGTCGACAACATGAATTTTGAACTTTTTGAATTCAATTTTTTTCTTGTACACTAAGGCATGGACCATAGACATAATCACAGTAATTAAAATAGGAGAGAACAAGTGACTCACATAACATAATTTTAAGTTTTTTATTCAGGAATGACGACTACTATAAATTAATCTAAGCGAAGAATAAGATTTTTGGAGTAATATTTTCACGTGCTGATTGAATCGTAAATTACTGTCAAGAGTCGCTCCCAGATTTTTTACACTGTCAGTAATAGGAATTGGAATACCATCAATTATAATATTAAAGTTGAGTTTTAATATTTGTACTTTTTTCTTAGTACCAAAAAAAAATTATTTTTGATTTGCTAGAATTTAATTTTAAATTATGTTCATCAGATAATTGCCTTACAGTTTGTAACTCAGAGCTGACAATATTGCATGCTTGATCCAGATCATTAATATCAAAATGATAATATAATTGAGTATCATCAGCATAAGCTTGTACTTTACATAGTTGAATTGATTCTAAAATGGAAGCAGTGTAAATTATAAAAAGTAAGGGATCCAAAATTGACCCCTGGGGTACACCAGAAAGTATTTCTACACTATTAGATAAAATATTATTAACACATACCTGTTGAGATCTTCCATGTAAATAAGAATTAATAAGATCTAAAGTCGGTTCATCAAACCCATAGTACTTAAGTTTAGAACAAAGAAGCTTATGATTAATTGTGTCAAAAGCTTTAGAGAAGTCCAGTAAAACTAAGGCACTAACTAGTTCCCTGTCCTGTGCTTTTATTAAATCATCAGTGACGGTAATTAGAGCAGTTGAGGTACTATACCCTTTCCTAAAGCCACATTGCGATTGAGGTAAGAGACTATTATTTACAAAAAAGTCATAAATTTGATTATATAACAGTCTTTCAAAAATTTTGGAAAGCGCAGGTAATATACTAATTACTCTAAGATCAGAGAATGATTCTGGATTATTTTTTTTGGGTATAGGCATGACGATTGCCTTTTTCCACAAACAAGGAAAGTAATGTTTCTCAATACAGCAATTAATTAAATGAGTAACATAGGGATCAATAAATGGACTACAGTATTTTAACATAGTGGGAGATATATTATCAACACCAAATGCATCAGTTTTGATACTATTAAGAATGGTATGAATCTCATCAACAGTAGCCAAAGCAAATTTGAAAGATTGATTAATATCACGTCTATTATTGTCATAAAAATTAATTTGGTCATCACAATTATTAGAGGCATTCCTCAAAAATGAAGTAAAAAAGTCATTTTTACAAGATCGAATATTGAGAGAGTCAAGAGCTTTCCAAATCCGTTTACTAATTTTTATTATTATTATTTAATCAAAAAATGGTCATATGTGGGCCGAAGAAACTTATCTGCACTTTCTACAATCTAATTTAATTTAACTACTACTAGAAGATTTTCTTCTTGACATTAGAGCTCACATGTGGCATTTATATGATGGTGCCCCTGCTCATTATCCTGTAATAGTAAGAAACCATTTAGATAACATCCATGGATAGGAAGAGGAAGTGACGAAACCATAGCCTCAACCGGATCTAAATCCGTTTGATTTTTTTTCTGGGGTTATATTAAGGCCATGGTTTATAGTGCCCTCTATTAACAATAGAGATGAACTGTGATAAAGAATAGTTGCAGCTGTAAATGTTATAGGAAACCTGAATCCATCGTTTTTCACTGTTCAGAGAAATTTCTTAAAGAGATGTCGATTACGTCTGCAGTCAAATGGGGGGCATTTCGAAAATAATTTTAAACATAATTATTGTTTACTTAATGTTTTCTTAGTTTTTCTTGGTATATTTTATGAATTAATTATTTATGTTACATATAAAATGTTGTTTATATTTTTATTTTTGTTTTCATAATTATTTGATACTAGCAACCCGCCCCGGCTTCGCACGGGCAAATATAAAATAGCCTATGTTACTCCGAGGAGATGTAGCTTTCGGTAAAATTGGTTGAGTAGTTTTTGAGTTAAATCG